ATGTAAATGACCATTTCTAAGCAATTAGAAAACTTGACAAAGTATTTCAGCTGAAAATTGATTTGAGGAAAGTTTAATGCTGGATTGACATGTCATGACTTCACTGCCATTGGTGAAAAGAATGTTTTGACTTAATTCACAAACATGCTGGGAACGTGAACCGTGGGCTATCAGACACTTGTGTTTAATTCACAAATGCTGGAAATGTGAACCGTGGGCTATCAGATACTTGTGTTGGGAGGGTGATGCGGCTGTTGTGATTGCCTGCTTCACAGGATCTATAATCACGGAAGAGACAAACCTTTGGCTGTGCCTGTGAGAGATCCCCTATTTTGAGGTTATCTGAGGTAAGAAGACCCACACCAAATGTGGGAGGCACCGATCCATGGGCAGGAGTCCTCAAGTGCCTGATAAGGGGAAGGTAAGTCGAGGACTGTGCTCTGCTTCCTGACTGGATGTCATGTGACCAGATGGTCTTGCTCCTGCTGCCGTGACTCCCCACAGGCAAGGACTGTGTCCCTTTGAACATGGAGTCCAAATCCGCCCTTCCTCCCTTAAGTTGCTTCTTGTTAGAGATTTGGTCACAGCGATGAGAAAAACCATTAACACCAGAGGGCCGACTGACCAGGCTCACCCAGAAAACACTTGGGGAGCAATGTGTCTGTGTGGACGGGCACGTTGTATGGCAGAGTCCCCCTCATGGGAGCCAATGACAAGACACTTCCCGAGAACCAGATGACATGGATGACAGCTGTCATGGTGCACAGTTTGACAGGCATAAAATGAAAACAAGCCGTAGGTCCCTCCCGGCAGACCGACAGACACGCCGGGCTGTACCACACTATGGATAGTAATTGGCAGTGGAGACATACAATGAACCAAAACTTTAGACACTAGGGGTGGATCGCGGGGTCCTAATGGTGCTCCCACAACCATCCTAATTCCCTCATGACCTACAAGACATCTGAGGACAAACTGTTCTAAATATAATACTGTAGCAGGGCTGGGGAGACAGCTCCTTGGTTAAAGTGTTTGCTATACTAGTGTGAGGATCTGAGTTCAGATCCCCAGAAACCATAAATGCTGGGTGGGCATAGTGACCTATGGATAATTTAATTTAAACCTCAGAAGGTGGAGACAGAGCAAGTTGGCTAGCAAGACTATCTCTGTTTACATTGGTGAGCTCTGGGTTGACAGATACATACACAGGCAAACCACCCATAAGACATAAAATAATACAAACTTTAAAAAAAGCAACTTAGCCTGGGTCAAGTCTTTCCTTAGAGGAGAGGGGTGGGGCATTGTTAACCTTCACCTCCAGCAGGTAGATGAAGAGTGCAGTTGTGAAATTCCCCAAGAGCATGCATTCCCAGGTGTAGAGGCTCTCAATATCTGGGGGTGGAAAGGGTGGTGGTCTTCTAAAAGCCCTGTGTGGGCTCCATGTAGGCAAGCGGTGCTTACCTTTCCCGCAGGCTTGAACCAGTCCGTACCACTCCCCACAGCTGTTACACAGCAAGGTGAAGGCAGTTTCTCCACGTCCTGTGACGGAGCCTGGTGCACACACATACAGCAGCTCATCCCCCATCTCCAAGCCAGTGCGACCCTGGAGGATGGTGTGTGGGAATGATGGTGGGTCTCCACAGGGCCTCTCTGAGGAGAAGGAACAACAGTCAACATCTCCAAACGGTGACAGTTAATCTTGTCAACTTGACAGGCTCTAGAGTCACCATGGAAATGTGTCTCTGGGCATGTCTATGTGGGATTTTCTAGACTGGGTTAATTGAGGTTGGAGGCCTTTAATGTAGGTGGCACCACTTAATGCGCTGTGGTCCAGGACTGAATACAAAGGAGAAAGTAGCAGGCAGTGGTGGCGCACGCCTTTAATCCCAGCACTTGGGAGGCAGAGGCAGGAGGGTCTCTGTGAGTTCGAGGCCAGAATGGTCTACATATCAAGTTCCAAGATAGGCTACTACATAGAAGAGAGGGGAGCGGAGGGAGAGAGAGGGAGAGGGAGGGAGGGACGGAGGGAGAGAGGGAGGGACGGAGAGCGAGCTAGCTGACTGGGGATGCAGGAGCCTTGAACCTTCTTCACCAAATATGGACTGCATCCTCAGACTGTGAGACAAAGAAATCCCCCTGTCAGGTACCTTACCCCAGCATCATGTCCAGTAATGGATATACAAATGATACAGAACTTTTCCAAAACAAAACACTGCAGAGTGAGCTCACCTACCCTGACCCCCTGTTCCCTGAGTACCACGTACACCCAGAACCAGGATCCCAGGGGCAACCTCATTTAACTCGTGGCCTGGCAGAATGCCTGACTGGAGGAGGCACACACACACAAAAAAAGCTTCTTGAATGACTCAGTGTGGCACCAAATGCTACAGCTTGTATTTTTAAACTGCCAGACACCAAGACCCCTCTGCCTTGGATGACTCAGACACACAAGCCTAGGAGCAGTTCCTTTTGCCTTGTTGGGATGAAAGAAGAAGGCTGTCATCAAGGAGCATACATCACATGGGCTGCAGTGGCGCAGGCCTTTAATCCCAGCACTTGGGAGGCAGAGACAGGTGGATCTCTGTGAGTTCAAGGCCAGCCTGGTCTACAAAGAAAGTTCCAAGGCAGGGGCTATACAGAGAAACCCTGTCTTGAAAAACCAAAAATAAATAAATGAAATCAAATAAAATTAGAGATGTAAAGGGAAAGGCTTCAAACAAGCCAGCAAAGGGAGGGGGCAAATACACATTCCTTCTCTCTACTCAAGTATAGATGTGATTTGACTAGCTGTCTGGAGTTCCTGTGCTCATGGACTAACCCAATATTGTGAGCTAAAATAACTCCTTTCTCCCTCTCTGAGTTGCTTTTCATCAGGGTATATAATCACAGCCAAGAGAACTGAAAATAGACCAATATGTATTTTCTTTTGTAATTCCCTAAGGACAAAGGGCATTGAAGACCTCTTCATTTGCTTGCTCGCTATCTGTCTATTTCTTTGTTGAGTTATTTGTTCAGGTCTTTTGTTCATTTTCTGTTTTTATTTGTTTTATTTTTATTTACTTTTTGGTTTTTTGACATGGTTTCTCTGTATAAAGTCCTGGTTGTCCTGGAACTTGATTTGTAGACCAGGCTGGCCTCAAACTCATTGAGATCCACCTGTCTCTGCCTCCCAAGTGGCAGGATTAAAGGTGTGGCCATCACTGCCTGGCTTTTCCACTTTTTAAACAAGTTGTTTGTTTACATTGTTGCTGAGTTTTGAGAGTTCTTTGTCTGCTTCGCGTCTTCCGCAGACCTGTTCCCTAGCCTGCGCTTGTTCTCTCATTCTGTGGGTGCACCCGAGGGACAGAATTTAATCTAATAAACCCCAATTATCAATGGCATCTTTTCCAAACTGTCCCTTTGGTGCTCACTCCTCTATCCAAGGCCACCTTGGCTTTCTTCTATGCTGTCTCCCAGAGTTCATAGCGTGTTGCTTTACACTTAGGTCTGTGATCCGTGCTGTTGAGTTCATGTCTATGAAGGGTTTAATGTCAACTTCAGGATGTCCGGTTTTTCTGGTATCTAAGTTGGTAACCGTCTTTATTCCATTGTGTTTCTTTGTTCCTTTGTCGAAGACCCATTGCCTGACGATGTGAATCTAGTTTTGTCTCACTGATCTGAGTTACTCTCCCATGAGCACCCTCTCTCTTGCTTACTAATAACAGGAGTCCTGAAGTCCAGCGGTGTCGTTCCTCAGACTTTGTTGTTTAATATTGAATTGGCTGCTCTGAGTCCTTTAGTTATAGTATCTATAGCAATTGATTATATCCATAAAATAGCTTCAGGGCATTTTGATTATGGCATTGTGTCAAAAGAGATCAACCTGGGAAGACCCACTGTATTGACAATATCAAGGCTTACTGTTCACATGGAACATTTTTCTTTATTTCCTCAGTGTTTTGTAGTTTGCCTGAGACTTAACATTAGTTTTAGATTTATATCTAAGTATTTCATTTGGGAGGTACTACTGCAGATGGTATGTTTTGAAGTTCAAATCCCACTGTTCAGTGCTGTTATAGAGGGAAGTGGAGGATGAACTTGTTTATTAACTTTGTATTCAAGTTTTATTTCTGTTGCTGTGATAAAATATTCTGACAGAAAGCAATTTAGGGGATGAAGGGTTTGTTCAGCTTATAATTCCAGGTTATAGTCTACTGCTGAGGGGAAGTCAGGACGGTAGGAGCCTGAAGATGTCAGTCACATCACATCCACAATCAAGATAAAGGAGAGAAATGAATTCCTGCTCACTAGCTCCCCTTCTTGCTTGTGCTCAGTTCAATGTCTCTTATTCATTCAGGACCCTCCTGCCTAGGGATGGTGCCACCCACAGTGGGCTGGGTCTCCCCACATCAATTAATTAAGACAATCTTCCACAGCCATGATGACAGCCCACCCAATGTTGACCATCCCGCATTGAGACTCTCTACCCAAGTGATTCTTGGTTATATCAAGCTGACAATCAAAACTGACTCTATATACATCATAATTCATATCCTGCAACTTACTGTAATCAATTTCAAGACACTTTTGTCAATTGTTTTAGGTTTGGGGTTGGAGAGATGGCTCAGTGGATAAGGCACTTGCCTGCAAGCCTGATGACCTGGGTTCAATCCCCAGAACCCACATGACTCAGAAGTCATCCTCTGCCCTCCACACGTGCACCATGGCAGGCACATGCCCTCTTCCCGCTCAGCAAATAAATGGAGGAAAGTTAAAACATTGTTTGGGGCTTTCTACCACACAGTCATTTTATGTGTGAGTGTGTGTGTGTGTGTGTGTGTGTGTGTGTGTGTGTGTGTGCGCGCACGCACGCGCACGTGCATGCTGTCTGCATGGAAATGTGTGGGTGCATGTGCTCATATATGTACTTGCAGGGTCCAGAGCAGGACATCAAGTGTCCTTCTCTATGGCTTTCCACCTTATAGCTTTGAGACTTGGTCTCACACGAAAGCTGAAATTTAAGCAGGCTGCTTGGCCAAAAAGCTCCCAGGACGCCCCCCCCCCCAACCTCCACCCCCAATTCTGGGACAACAGGCATATACAGCTTTTGACTTATATGGTGAGAATTTGAACCCAGAACTTCATAGTTGCGGAGTAAATGTTCTTATCCACTAAGACGTCTTCCCAACTCCTGTAATTGTTTGGGGGGTGGGGTGGAAAGCAGGGGCTCACTCTATAGCCCAGATTGACCTCAGATTTGTGACCCTCCTGCTCCTGCCTTCTTAAGTGATGCGATTCCAGGCATGTCACCACGTGGCTGAATAATTCTTTTACATCTTGTTAGATTGAATTTGCTAATGTTTCCTTGTCTGTGTTCATGAGATATATTGGTCTGTAGTCCTCTTTTCTTGGAATGTCTTGTCTGGTTTTGGTTTGGAGGTAATAATGGCCTCATGGAACAAATTAGGAAGTGTTCCTTCTGATTTTAACTTCTGGAAAATTTTGTAGAGAATCAGCATAATTTCTTCCTTAAATGCTCAGGCTCATCTGTGCCTGATGCTCTCTGTTTCAGAGTTATTATTCATTCTGTTCTTTGAAAGAGGGGGGCTTTGTGAGATTGCTCCTGTCTTCTTAACAGTTTTGCTAGACTGTTCTTTCAACAAGCTAGTTCATTTCATCTGGGTTTTGAAAGCTGAGGGCACAGCTACTAAGATCTTTTTTATATTTAATCATATGTATTTATGTGTGTCTGTGGGTGGGTTTGTGCATGTGAGTTCGGAGGACAGAAAAGGGTGTTAGAACCCCCGGAGCTGGAGTTACAGGTGGTTGTAAGCCACCCAGCATGTGTGCTGGGGATCAAACTGGGTCCTGTGTGAAAGCATCAGGCTGTCTTACTCACTGAGCCATTGCTCCAGCCCCTTTTATATTATTTTATGATTCATTTGATATTCACATGATCTGTAGTGAGTCCCCTTTTCTCATTTCTTTCTTTCTTTTTTTTGGAGGGGTAGGGTCGGGTGGGGAGGTCTCATTGTGTAGCTTTAGTTGGCTTGGAACTTATTATGTTGACCTGGCTGGCCTCAAACTCCTAGAGACCTCTCTGCCTCTGTCTTCTGAGTGCTGGGATTAAAGGCAAGTGCCACCATCCCCGGATTTTTTTTATTTATTTTAAAAATATACTTATTTTGTTATTTGTGTGTGGTGTGTACATGTGTGTGCACATGTGTGTGTGTGTACACGCACACGCACATGCATGCCTACACAGGTGTGGGTGCCCATGGTGGCCAGAAGGGTGTCAGCTCCCCTGGATCTGGAGTTAGAGGTGGTCACAAGCCACCCAATACCATGTGGATGCTGGGAATCAGAATCTGGTCCTCCAAAAGATCAGAAAGTGCTCTTTACCAACGAGACATCTCTCCCGCCCTCCCTCTTCTATTTCTATAGGGTTTTTCCTTAGTCTGACTACAAGTTTATCAATGCCATTTCAAAGCACTAACTTTGGGTTTTGTTGATTTTTTCCCTTATTTTCCCATTTTCAATTTCATTGTGCTCTTCTATTTTGAAGTCTTAGATTGATTTTAGATCTTCGTTCTCCCTGATATGAGCACTCAAAGCTATACATTTCTGTCTGACTACCATCTCATAAATCTTAATAAATTGTATTTTATTCT